TATATATAGCTCACGCTTTTCTTCCCAGCTCCGTTCCTGCCTTGTGCCCCGTGTATTGTCTTCCCAGCCACTATCGCTCCTTCGGACCACGGACCTCCACAACTCCACATCACTCCACCACGCAGGTCAATGCACAGTTTTCCATTAACTGTTACTCTGACTTTGTCCCCTCAGCAACCAACCTCCACGACCAGTCCAGGAGTGAATCCTAGCGTCCGCAGCCTGGCCTCCTCCTTATCAACCCACCACTAACTGTATGTTTTCCAGGACTGCCGTTCGACTGCCCCTGTTAATACTGGCACGTACTCAATAACTAGGGCTCCCTCAGACACACACACAGCTGTATGAAGGTGCAAATCAAGACCCTGGAAGCTAATTCAGATTTCACAGCCACACAGAGGTAAATGCAAAGATGTAACACAAAACACAACATGTAATATTTTACATGTTTCTATTAAAACTCTACATTTGGTGCAGTGTGTTTAGATCTCATAGAAAGTCAGCTGAAAAGAGCAAAAATCAGGACAAGACTGTTGCCATTAGTCAACAGCAACACCTACAGTAAATGTTTGCCTTGAGCCAAATCACTGGTTATGCATGTAATATTGTTGTGTTATATGTTTTATAAACCTGAATGGTTTATGGTAACAATACTGCCAGAAGTGACATGTTGATTTTTCAGTGTATTTTCTTGCTTTTGCACTGTCATGTATTTACATTGTGGAAAACTTGTTAGCTGGGTGTTATGAACAAAGCATGCTCAGTTAACTGTTACTTCATAAAGGGTAAAAAAACTGTCCACGCCTATATAGACACTCCTCCATCAAACACACCAAATGGTTTCCATGATGCAACAGCCAGTCATATACACTGAATCAAGTTCTGTGTGGTTTTATCTGCCTTTATCTGGTAATCCACAGAGTTACATTGTGTTCCTCTGTGAGGGGTGCCAAGACATAAATGTGATTTTTCTTGGAAACTCGGAACTCCCTAATTTAGAATTTGGAAAGGCATCAGAAGGCTGCCATGTGTGAAAACAAACCTGCACCTGTTCAAGTACCCCTTCATAGCAAGGCAAGGCAAGTTTATTTATATAGCAACCTTTCCTGCACAAAGGCAATTCAAAGTGCTTAACACAATGCACACAGATAAAACGTTGAAAATGGATTAAAAAAAATGTCGACAGAAAGATAAAACATTAAAATGCATGTACAGATAAAACATTAGAATGCAAATTAGATCAAACATTAAATGTCAATAAAAAGCAACAGGAGTCAGGAATATTCAAATAAGTAAAACAATGGTAATCGACAATAAAGTCTTCTCATGTAAACACTAAAGCTTCTTTTGTAAACATCTGATATCAGAAATTCACACACACTAATCCACACTAACTGAGCAGATGCAATCAAAATCTTAATGCAGGGCGTTTTCTGCAAATCCAGGCAATCAACACAACAAAGATAGGATGCAATAATGGCTCCCCCTGCCAGCAATAGCAGACCTTTACAGTAAAATACACAGAAACAATGTTAAGATTCCGGACAGGTGTGTGTCTGTGTTTGTGCAGGAGGTTGGGAAGGTGTGTAATGTGTGTACATGTGTGTCTGTGGAGGGAGTTAACCACAGATAACAGAGATCTTCATTCTATCCGCCGACCCCAGGTGACCCCTGTTAATTAGAGAAAAGCCTGTAATGACAGAGAGCTCACCTGTCAGCAGTTCTCAATGGGCCTGTTGTCTAACAGAAGATATTTAAGATGTTTTAGGAGCTATTCCATTTTGAGGTTTTTCTTTTCTTATTTGTAAAGTATTAAAAATGATAAAAGGCCAATAACAGCTGTGATAACCTATTTTGTTTGACAATGCTTTTTCCTTCTACATCTTACTTTGCCTTTTTGAGTCAATTTTCTGTTGAGAATTTAAATGAACTTGCTTAGATAAAAAATATTTTAACCTAAAAATAAATAGGCACTCTGTCTTTGGAGGTTCCCAAAAGAATCTTATACAAAAGGGGTATTTACAGAGGGGATTAGTTACACAGATGACCTACTATTAAGTCCCAGGTATGTATGTATATAACATTTGAATCTGCTTATTCCAGGTCATATACTACAAGGCTGCTCTTTACATTTTTGTTTATTTGAATATGTAACCGTGTACCCTCAATTTTAAGAAAAAACATCTCAAACATGCAGTCTGGTAATGAGGTCTGTAAGATTATACAGAGAGTGTTTTCCCCCTCCAGCAGTGATTTTGTAGCTGACCAACAAAAACAAGGCCTGTCATTGTTACACATGGAGATCTCATTCAGATGGTGATTCAGCATTTTTCTTCAAGGTTGTCACATGTCACAGATACACAGATACGTACCCTTGCTCAAATTCAAAAGACTTTAAAGGAACTTCCATTCATTGAATTGCTGTCATTCACTACAACAGTGGCGCTTGAAGCCGCTCATGTCAGAGAGTGTAGATGGCAGGATCCATTTTGGGGGGACGTGTGAGATCATGTTAGATGCTTCTTGGGGCCATGAATGTGAAAATAATAAACAAATATTATAGTTACAAAGAATATATTTTACCTTTTTCTTGATTCTTGCATACATTTTATCTGTGCAAATATGGTTTGGATTTACAAACAACACTGGCTTCCAGAATCCATCGTTATCTCTGCTGGTAGATGACACAATGTTTATAGATTTTCATGGATTTTTCATGTGACACCAAGTCTAGTTGGACACAATTTTGTAAAAAAAAAAAAAAATTATCATGTCCCAATGGTAAGTGTAGTGTGAATGTAACCATGATGCCACCTTTTTTGTTGACTCCACCTTCTGTCATCTAAGCCGTATAAAGAAGGTAGAATCTGTTTCTCCCTCTCTTTCTCTCTCAGTAAAAGTCTTACACAGAACTTTGAGTCAATGAGATCCGATAACGCCTTGATCTCCGGAGGTTTGCACCTGCAGACACAGAAGGCCTTCTATCCCACAGAGCCCTGGAAGAGAGTTTTGTTCAGATCCTTCTTCTTCCCCAGCTCCAGCTATGTACTCTGCAGGCTTGGAGATACTTGGGATGATCCTGGCTGTGGCCGGTTGGCTGGGGGTGATGGTGACTTGCGGCCTGCCCATGTGGCGGGTGGCTGCCTACATCGGTCAGAACATTGTCATCTCCCAGATAATCTGGGAAGGCTTGTGGATGAACTGTTCGGTGCAGAGCACAGGCCAGATGCACTGCAAAGTACATGAATCCATGCTGGGGCTGCCAGCAGACTTGCAGGCAGCCCGTGCCTTGGTCATTGTCTCTATGGTGCTGAGTATTGTGGGCATTGGTCTGTCAGTGGCAGGGGCCAAGTGCACCAACTGTAGCAGGGATGTCAGCAGTAAACCACGGCTTGTAGTGGCAGCTGGAGTAACCTTTGTGGTGGCTGGACTCCTGCTACTGGTGGCTGTGTCCTGGACAGCCCACACCATCGTCCTGGACTTCTACGACCCACTGCTGGAGCAGACAGGGAAGAGGGAGTTTGGTAATGCTCTGTACTTTGGCTGGGCTGCCTCCTGCCTGCTCATTTCAGGGGGGGGGCTGCTCTGTTGCTCCTGCCCACCCAGAAAAGCTACAGCATCGAGTGGTGGTGGTGGCTCTGTGCCTCCCCAGGGGGCCTACACAGCTGCCAAAATCATGTCAGTCAATGGATATACCAGAAGAGACTATGTATGAAAAAGTGACGTGAGTGCAGATGACAATACAGTAACAATCCTTATTAAGTTTGTAGAAAGTAGATGGATGTTTGGTGGTATAGATGCTAGTGCAGCATATTGGGCTTAAGCATTAAATCTCAATGTTTGATTGTGTGTTTTCATTATAACCAATATTCTGTAGTGGTGTACATCTAATGTTACTCTGTCTCATTTCAAGTATTATTACATTTTACTTATACCCAGTGATTAAAAAAACATCAAGATGTGTCTGAGCTTCATACATTGCCTATCTAGGTCAATCCTCAATAAGCCAAGTTTTATTAACATTAGAAAGATTATAAAAAAAAGAAGAAACTTATTCAACAGTGTATTACTTTTGAAATGTTTTTATAGTGAAGATGAAGTTTGTAGCTCTGCACTTTAGTGCTACAAAGTCAGAAAATGATGTGTGGATGATGTGTAACAATAATTTATGCATAGGTTCTTTTGTATGCAGAAACAGGGCTATATACCAGCTGCAGAGGTCAGCAGAGTCTGACCAGTAAGTGTCAGTCATGCTGGTGCACACTGAAACTGGGTATTTTGTTTCGGTGTAAATGGAAAAAATGAACAATGGGTGGCTTGTTATAGAAAAGCACCTTATGCTCCCCTTCCATTCCAGCTTGTCCTCCATTTGCGAGAGTGAAACTGAGTCAGAGATAAAAGTCTTCATCTGTAAGGGGATAACAAACACTGTAACTGAGTCCAAGATGAGCTACAAAGATGCTATTGATCGGCTAGTTTGTAGCAGTTTACCTTCTTATGAAGGATTCACAGGAGCAAATGTGTACCTAAATGTTCAGAGTCCCTATTTGCCCACCCAAACAACAGCAGGTAGTATAAAAAAATGTCTATTTGGATTTATTGTACAAAGATGGTAACTTTGTACAATATGGTAGTGCAGCAGGTAAACAGTGGCATTGCTACATTTAGGGCCAGCACAGTTAAGTGACTGATATTGAAAATGTTAAACACAGTGTCAGCCTGTGCTATTCAATAAGACTTGATTTAATGTCATTCTGCACAACATTTTTGCATGCCAGCCTGCTGGATGTTTTTAGCAACGTGAGTGAGCGTTATCCATTTTATAACATTCTACCCACACCTTATAAAAATATAGAGTTACATGGTTTTTGCAAGCAATACTAAAAAAGTATAATAAGCAAAGATACAGGTTAAACACAATTCTTGCTTTCTTAACTTGCTCTTGTTTGAGCAATGAATTTAACGGTCTAATAGGCCTTTAAATAGACTGACAACTCACTTAGAGTGACCACAGACCCTGTTTGCAGGATTGTGTTACTAAGTCCAGCTGTGCAGTCATGTGTTAATGGGGACGTGAAACAGCCCAGTCATAAAATGAAGACAAACCACAAGATGTGCTATAAGAGCACCAGCTCCCACTTAATAACACAACAACAAACATGATGTTATTGTTGAAACTCTCACATTTACTGAACCAGTAAGGTGTGTTCAAGTATGAGCATGTTACCTCACTGCAAAGAGAGTAACAACAATAAATGGCATGTTACAGTAATCATGAATTAAGTGTCATGTTTAAAGGGACAACAAGAGCCAAAGTCACCAAATGATCAAGGTAAAGCAGCTTTTCAGTGTCTTACTCTTGTGTAAACCGATTTATGAAATTAATAAAGATTCTGTGAAGACTCATTTCCAAGAAAGTGTCTTTTCTGTGACACATGCAACAGCTAAATTCAGGTTGAAACCCCTGATACATGATAGCCTTCAGGGCAAAGACATGCACAAGACCTCCTATCCATGTGCACACACGCAGAGATAATTGTTTTGGCTTCTAACACACTGGCTCCCTACACACTCTGTGTTTTTATGACTGTAACCATCATTAGAAACATTTCTGAGACACATGCATGTGTTATTCATACATTTTTCTCCTCAGTCCTGTGTACCTTACACATGCAGAGACTGGGTATTTAGAGGAGCGTTGTGTTGCTTGTACTGAAGTTCCTGCATGCGTTGTCACTTATTAACTGCTGAGGGCAAACAATGTGACAGATTCCATTGAATGTCAGCGCTGATGGGAAAAATTGCTTTTAGCATCACGTAGCATCACACACCTTAAAATTGTTGCCTGATATTTCATCATCTTGTGGTTTCTAAATGACATTTTAAAGTGTTGTTCTGAGATTTGCAGCTCTGTTTTATGTGGGGAAGGAAGATTAACATGTCAATCTGCAGTACCAAGGTGAAATAACATTATAATCATTATCACCCATTCATGAAGGAATTCTACTGAAAATATTCAACATATCATGTTTCAAAAAGATATCTGAAAGAACATACCTATCATCAGTATTTCTAACTCAATATTTATGAACACTCCAAAGTGAGGTACTGTTTTTTCTTCTGCTCATAATGCTTGATTCCTCAGAATTTCTCTCTCAAGCCTGCAGACAAAAACAATATTCTTATCTTAAGCCTGTAAAATATGATGGTTTCCTTAACTGGAAACCTTTAGACCTTCCAAAGAACTTGGAGTGGTAATTTTATCAGATTTGTTGGTAGGATACAGAGTAATATGAATAATCTCTTGAGACAATAACAGTACTCCCACTGGCTTCCAAAAAAGCTGTGCCTACCTATTTAAACCACTTTTCACCATTTCCACCTCTTTTCCTTCTCCTCAGCTTCAATCAATAATTTCATATAAGTAAAGAATAATTAAAGCAAAATATGATTCACAACCTTTATGTTCAACTTGAGGTCTTAATAACACAAACCATAAAAAGATTAAATGTTTTTATCATGATTCAATCCTGAATCCTAAACAGTATAATGAGAAGTGTGCTCCACTTTCAGTCATTCCACAGATCTTCACCATGTCTGTTATCCTTTAACTACTACGACCCTAAGATACAGACCCTCTGTTTACTCTCCCCTCACCCAAACATGGAGGAGGGTTACCAGGGCCAGGGAGGTTGAATGATTAAACTGGAGGTGGTTACATGCTAAGGCTGAGTTTTTGGATATTCAAACAAGGTGGGACAGAAGATAATTTGAACTATTCCCTGGCCAATACCCATGCGACTCCACCTTCTGTTCTATAGAAATCTGCTGTTTATATGAGGAGTCAGCAGTCCAGAGCATACACACTCAATCAGCTTCTTACTACTGAGATAAAAAGGACATCTCTGCACTTTGACTCACTTATAGCTCAGACATGCCTTCAGTCGGACTGGAGATACTTGGAGTGAGCCTGGCTGTCCTGGGATGGATCGCAGCCATCATGTCCTGTGTCTTACCCATGTGGAAAGTGTCAGCTTTCATCGGGGTGAACATAGTTACAGCCCAGACGACCTTGGAGGGCATCTGGATGAGCTGTGTGGTCCAAAGCACTGGTTTTATGCAGTGTAAACCCTATGACTCCATGTTGGCTCTAGGTGCCGACCTTCAGGCTGCTCGTGCTCTCACTATCATCTCCATCGTGCTGGGCATTATGGGAATCATGGTGGCCCTTGTGGGGGCAAAGTGCACCAACTGTGTGGATGAAGAGACAGCCAAGGCTCGGGTGATGATAGCTGCTGGGGTGACCTTCATCTTGGCTTCTCTGACCCAGATGATCCCGGTGTCATGGTCTGCCCATACTATCGTTGTGGAGTTCTACAGTCCAGTCATACCTGAGGCACAGAAGAGGGAGATAGGTGCAGCTCTGTACCTGGGCTGGGCTGCAGCTTCATTTTTACTCGTTGGAGGGGGCATCCTCTGCTCTAGTTGCCCCTCACAACCTGAGAGATTGTATAGGCCTCCATCAAAGATGACATACCCCCAAACCAAGTCAGCTGCCCCAAGCGGTTACGATAAAAGAGACTACGTCTGAACTTCTACCTACCCATTTCCTACACCTTTGCCATCATGTATGTATGTCCTTCTGAATAGACCCTACATCAGACTTGTTTTCCTGTATGTTTTGTGTGCAAATGTGTTACTGCTGGGAGCACCAAGGCTAAGAACTCTATGTTAGTGACATGGTGTGTCTTGTGTTTTATGCTTCATAATAATTGTACTGTATAATGTATGATCAAATTTAGAGAAGAGTTGAATCTGTAACTGTGCTTTTTTTACTGCATTGTTTGTTTTTTTTTCATCATAAAGCTATGTTTTTTTAAAGAACATAGCATTTGAGGTGATCACATCTCTATAGACCCATGGAAAATGATTTTGTACAATAAACCCAACAGCATCAGTTTCATGCGCACTGCAGTGGTTCTCTCTTCTTTGCCCTGAATCATGCTGTGCATTTATTTGATGGTAATAAAATGAATAATAAAATGTTTATTATGAAAAAAAAGTTAATTTTACTTTTAGGTGAAAATGGGAGCATTTGTTAATTACATGTGTTGGGTGAAATTTTAAGGATTTGCTGTTTAACTTGGTTGCTTCAAAACATGATTATTTACATATTTACATATACACCCCTCAGTCAGTGTTCATGAGGAACTGTATAGTACTTATTTGGACTTAGGGGCTGGGCCAGCACCAATAAATGGCTCAAAAAACTACTGGTAAAATAAAATAAAATAAAATAAAATAAAATAAAATATGGACCTTCACATCCTTTGTTTGATAAAGGCTGCAGTGGCTCCCTATTTGTATAGGGCTGCTGGGCACTGATGGCTGTGGCCTTGCTGGAGATGTCGCAGATATAATGCCTAGTTCACACAGGTGAGAGGGTAATAATTCTGTTTCCACAAAATGTGAATATGTAATATACAGTAAATATCACAGAGAATGTTTAATAACAATGTTGACTGTTAAAATATGGAATATATATATAATTTATGAGATTAAAGGGCCACAGCAATAGCAGTAGCTCTGGGAAGCTGTGACAGTTGTTGTCAAAAACTACCACTGTGCTTGAAATAGTTTCTTTACCATGAAAATGTTTGAGAAAAGCCCTGTGACAGCAGTGAATGAATGCTGCTGAATCAGCATTCATACAATAATTACACATACCTGACCCCTTGTAACAGGGGATTTTAATCAGTCCCCCTGTGGTATTAAAATAGTGCCCTTCCAGTCTATCCACCATACAGTGGTCCTCAGGTTGCTGTTTAGTCACAGTGGTGGTCCCTGGGTCACAGTCTGTTGAAAACCCCTGGTGTATACAAATCATAAGATTATGAGGATCAAAACGTTTTACCGGATGTACAGTCTGGAAGTGGACGGGGGGACACCGGAGCACTGGAGTTGCGGTGTGGAGGGGAAAAAGTCGGTGAAAGTGGGACAAAGGTCAAGGTCATAAATCAGTTTTTGAGATTTGCGTAGGCCTATTTCTCTCTCTCCTCACCATTAGTCCGGTGCCTCTTTCACAGCACCTATTCACTTGACTGTCTCCCATACGTCTTTTGGCTCTATGATAACAAGAACTGCTGCTTTGTCAGCTTCTCCACTCTCAGCTATCTGGACTGCCCTCCCAAACAATAGATCCATTTTATGTCAGAGGGGGAAACTGAGGGGACTGCCAGCACTGGTCCACAGAATGCTACAGGATAGGGAAGCATTTCCAGGGAGACAGTCCCAGCACTCAAGAATTTCAAGGGCATTCTGCAGACAGTCAGAGTCATTAAGCTCCATCAAACACAAAGATGTTATCAGGTGAAAACTTTGTGATTCTATGACATTTTGACGTCAACTGAAGGGATTTATTCTCTGCGAGGTTAATTAAAGTTCCCTTATCTTTGGTCTTATGACCTTTTTAAAACATTTGTGTATGAATATACAGTCAGTCTGAAAGTGAGCATCCTGCAGCCCTGGCAGGTTTAGAAAGGCAAAGTTTTCAGCAGTGATAACCAGGTTAGGAAAATACTGAGGAACAGGAGTCAGGCATTCTTTAGTTCTTAGTCATTTTTAAAAAGTAGCATTAAGACTGAAAGAGTTTATCAGCAATTATTAAATGTAAATGTTATACACAGGTGCTAAAAGGTAAGATTAATTTACAGTGTCTTCCATTAGCATGATTTTAAAAAACTGTTTGACAACAAAGATAAATCGACTTTTTCTGGAATAACACTAATTAGCCAACCTTATTTTCAGTCACACTATAAACTACCATAGGAGTGTTCACTTGGTTATGACAACACGTCCTTTCGGCTGTAAAAGGCCTCTTTGTAGACAGGCCTGCTGTGAAGCCAGTCATGTAAGCTGATAGCAGAGAGTGCTGAGAGTGTCCAGGTATTTCCTCCCCTTTTAGTGATGTCAGCTCCTTCAAGGACTCCTCCCCTGCACCTGATATGCCTTATAAAGGATACTTGTGAAGTCAGGGCAACAGATCATCACACACTCACAGATGCAAGGCCTGAAATTAACTTAATTAATAGTTGGCTGACTTTTCCACGTTTCAGGTTTTCCTCTGTGATCTCCTCTCAGGTGTGACTCACATTCAGCAGCAGAGGAGGAAGACATTTCAGTATGTCCATAGGGCTGGAGTTGTTAGGCATCTCTCTGTGCATTTTGGGATGGATTATTGCCATTGTGGCATGTGCCGTCCCCATGTGGAGGGTGACAGCCTTCATTGGCAGCAACATTGTGACAGCTCAGATCATCTGGGAGGGTCTGTGGATGACGTGCGTGGTCCAGAGCACAGGCCAGATGCAGTGTAAGGTCTATGATTCCATGCTTGCTCTCTCTGAAGACCTCCAAGCTGCTCGCGCCCTCACTGTCATCTCCATCTTGCTGGCCATCCTGGCCATGCTCATCGCCATCGCCGGGGCCAAGTGCACTAATTGTATTGAAGATGAGGTATCAAAGGCCAAGGTGATGATTATTTCTGGGGTCTTTTTCATTGTATCTGGGATCATGCAGCTCATTCCAGTCTCTTGGGCGGCCAACACCATAATCAGGAACTTCTACAACCCTTTAACTGTCGATGCTCAGCGAAGGGAACTGGGGGCTGCACTTTACATCGGCTGGGCAGCTGCTGCCCTCCTGCTTCTTGGTGGCGGACTCCTCTGCTGTTCCTGTCCACCACGTGAGACTAGATACAAGCCTTCACGTATAGCCTACTCTAACCCACGGTCTGCAGGTGGCCCAGGGTTAGAAAAGAAAGACTATGTATGAATGAAGGTCAAAGAGGAAGAGACTACTGAATTTCAAAGCTGTTCTCCACAAAAGACTGAGGGTGTGCTGAGGAAAAGAGCACAAGGAAACAATTAGATGAATGTGTTTAAATTTACCTTTAAAGTTAAGAATCTCTGTAATAGGCTCTTTATTTTTCAGAGTATGCAAAGGACATTCGACAATTATGTACAATTATGTATTTTTTTTTATAGTCCTGCTTCTTAATGTTTACACCTGAGTAATTGTTAACCTGCCATTATTGCTCCTTAATAAGCCACTACTTATTATCAACAGGATTATATGCTGTAAAGACAATAGTATCATTAAACACCTGTAACAGTCATGACAGAAGAAAACTGTATTCAATGCAGTGCTTAGTACAGTGTGGTAAAGGTGGGGATGGG